TATCAAATTTCTCTGAAGCTTCATTATCAATCCCACAAACTCAAACTTGCCACCCTTAGTCACTTTTGTGGCACTGTCTGAATCGTTTCAATAATGAGTTACTATCTTCGTTCAACTGAAACGAATAAATCGGAAACGTTACAGATTTCTGACCGAAATTGTCTACATTATCTTTTATGAAATGCTCTTAAATTTGTTTTCCATATCAACCTATTATCAGGAATGTAGTATTATTGTTCATGTTTTGTTATCATTGGCGTTATTGTTATTGTTGTTGATAATTATCTGCATGATTTTTAGTGCTGTTATCGTTATTAATGCGTATAACTATTATCAGCTACAGTATGGTAATTTTTAACGAATTTTCCCGATATTTGCAACACTTTCTCGGTGTTTACTCGTATCAGTTTGGCAGTTTTACGTTCCATCTCGTTATTCATTCACTTCGCTCTGCAGTATTATTCGTTGAAATCCTTAATGCACACACAAAAATTTGCACTTTAAATTTCACAGCCCTTCTTCAAATAAACACTTCTCTTTGCTCACGCCCCTCCTCTTCGATTCATCGGCCATGATATGAAACTTTGCAGGCAACAATTTTCATCGACTGTTCATGTGGACCTATGGACCAAAATTAACTGATAAAATGTTCGCACTGCCGTTATTTGCACTAAAGGCAATCAACAGTCTCAAAATTTGTCGTTGAATCGTCGAATCCAAGTTTTGGAGTTATCAAAAAATGCGAAAAAAAAATCTAGCAGTTTTCATATATTGATAAATCAGTGTGAAATGACTAATTTTCATCTTAAAACTCTGCAGTTATCTCATTTCATTTCTTCCTTAATTGACTCATTCATTCATATTTGATAACGGTTTGGTTGATCACACTAGCCGGAATGAATACTCTCGATTCTACACGACATGTTGAGTGCATGCTTTGCTCGAGGTGTTCATGAGGCATTGAGAAATGTGCTCAGTATTGTCCACGGATCAACAATAACATAACTCAGTATGTTTCAAAATCAGCGAACATTAGCATGCTTTCGAACTATAATGTATAATAGGTCTTCACTGTCCAGTTATCTACGGAGACCCTCTCGAATGCATTCCAAATCCTTGTTTGATCATGAAATAGTGGCGGCTGCGGTATAACTCACCAATTGCTGGCATTAATCATTTTGATCAGTGAAACAGTTCGATGATCTTCTTCGACCTGACGNCTAAAGTGAGATTGTTTGACGGAGGGGAAGCATTGGCCACCTAAATTGTTGGACGGGGAAATGACGAACTCACAAATGACTAAAGTGCGTTCCATGCACTACGGTTGAGAGCCACTGTTTGCGTTCATTACGCATTATTTTGAGACCTTCACGGAGGCATTTTTGCATAATTGATATCTCAAAAGAAATTTGAATTCGTTATGCAAAAATTCATCCGAACTGATAGTATGAAAGCGAATCAACAACTGCCAGTGATCATTTCTAGAATTGTTTATAAGTTTTTCGGCTGATTAGCCGAAATTTTCTCTTATTTGCTATCTCCAATAGTGGTGGTAGCATTCAATTTTCTATGCCGGCTACACCAAAGACGAAAACAAAGGTATCGATCATTTCATGATGTCGATCTCACGATTCGTTGAGTTTGCGGTGTTGCGCCCTCGACGTTTCGAGTACGCTGACCGCGAATAATCAATTGTTCAATGCATCTAGTGATAAGTGATAAAATTGTAATAAGGCAATCTAGCGATAGGGCAGTGACAAACTTTGATTCGAACAATTTATTTATTTGTTCAGCTGTCATTGTACGTTTCGTATATAAGCCTCTTCAAGCCATCACTCCAGTCATCACTATTTTCACAGTTCACTGCTCTTCTTATTCATGTTCGACCAGCTATTTCGCAAATACTGTCTCGCCATCTCATTTTCGGTCGTATCCGACTTCTTCTGATTCTAGGTTGCTACTGTGTGCACCTCTTAGCCCAGTTCTTATTGTCCATTGTTACAATTCTTCCATTGTTGCAATTCGAACAATTATTATGTAAACAGTAGCAATATGTTCATAATAATGTTGATACTGGTAACACTACTGATAGTGGTAATAGAACGAAATTGATAATAGTAATGCTTAACATAAGAGCAGTAATAATAGCCAAAATTAGTAACAGTGACGACAACAACAGTGATAATAAGATAGTTATAAGTAATAAGCATTTTAAGGACAAAACTGGCAGCAACAAAAATATTGACGATTGAGACTCTTAAATTCAATTGTTTTCAGAGACGGGTTCATACTCGGGGCCGGGGAGAATGCTCAGTGGCTACGGATGCAGCGCGAAGGACGACTGCGAAAAAAGTAAGCGGTCAAATAAGAATGACTGTTGATGGACGCATTATTAACGTTAAACGAATTAGTGAACCGCGCACTCCAATTGAGAAAAAATTCACACGGAAAACAGCCGATGTGAGTTGTTTTTTGCAGTTATTTATTGAATTTCTACATTAATAATCATATTGTCAATAACAGAATATTGCTGAAAATTTCCATACTTTATTGCAGTAACATCCAGCGTTTTTGTGGGGTTTCTTTCTCGAACTGAAGACTGAATGGTCACGAAGACGTGAACTGTCCCAATCGATCTCGACATTCATCTGCATCAAAATCTCATCATGTCACAATTAGACTCTAATACAAATATTCCATTGAAATTTCTCCCTCACTTTGTCTTCCAACTATTTTGCACACACATCGAGTTGTGGAATGGAATTCAAATGAATTTTTCATCTTCCCAATTTCATATCTATTTTGCTTACTTATCTCATTATTTGGAGTCATATGGTCTTACGTGTTCGCATGAGGGCATGGCACGGTAGTAGAAGGTGTTTGGGATACAGCATAAATCGTACGATTTAAGATCCTTAAACCTAACAAGGTTTATTTTATAAGTTTGCTACATTACATTACAAACCTAGTTCCCGGAATTATTTCGATCAATTCTACCCACCACGGTCTATTTGCAAACCACCTGAATTACTTAATGCAACGAAAAATTAAATTACTGTTGCAGGATAAAGGCGGCTCAAGTGCACGTAAAGCGAGTGTAGCAGAATTATGGATGAATGAGGTTGCAGCGACCGGTGTTAGAGGAATAAGAAAAGAATTTATTAACGATTTGAAAGGTTACGTTCCGATTGGTCCACAAACTGCATGGGAATGCGAGAAGAATTACGATAAAAATAGGTTGGTGAAAACATTCCTTACGTTTGTCCATTGTAGACGTATAAGAAATGTTGTTCGGTTTAGTTCAAACGAAACATCGTTGCTAAAATGTTTTGAGAGTTTTCAAAACTATCAAAAAAAGTGCATGATTCGAGTAAATTATTGTTTCGCGTAGCCTTCTTAAAAACACTGAAAATTTGGTTTCGGGCAAAATACACCCTTAGGAATTGCGCTCGAACCTGCAAACCTGTCTTCTCATTGAACACATACTTCGTTTCGTTCACAGTTGAATGATTATTCAATCCACTTGCATACCAACGTATGACTTGAAATTTTGTTTCGTTGAACTATTGCTGCTCAACAAAGATAATGGTCAAAGTAGTGAATTTATACGGTTTAGATTTGAAGATATTCGACTGTTGGACAATACAAGGGTCATATTAAGGAACACGCCAGATAGTGAGTTAATATTACCGTTTCTGTTCGATTCCTCCGATTGCCATTTACGTACTCATTGAGTTGTTTGAGTGATGAATGAACACTGATTGGTTAACATCGTACGAATGTGACGTTACACAACGATATCAGTTAATCAGCTTCATCAAGTACAGTAGTGTAGTGATATCGGCCACATCCACACTTGAAGCAAGCTTCTACTGAGGTTTAATTTAGCGCTTCCAAAGAGTTAACATTGCTACCCACCTATACGTTACTAAAACCGTATCAATTTTTATATTACCTGTATGAATACATCGATCAAAAAAATTAAGTTTTAAAGCATCGATCGAATGGAAAGAATTGAACAGACGAAGTTCACACAGAACTTATAGAACTGATAAGGATACTCATTTCAGATGAAGATTACATACATGCGTCATATGTGAAATTGGACGGAGATACGGTATTTATTTGTGCTCAAGGACCAATGAATAATACAGCGCAACATTTCCTCATTATGATTGTTCAGGAAGGCTCTAAGGTGATTGTCCTAGGACATTTCTGCAAAAAAAGTGTTTCAGTTACGGCAGGGTTTGTCAACATGGGGGGGGGGGGGGGGGGG